GCACACCGAGTGTCCTTTGGCAAAATGGCCATCTCAAAGTCTAAGGGCAGTAGTCCACTGTAAGTCAATAGGAACTGTCAGCCAGGGGTCCAACACAATCAGTCAAGGGCAACATCTAATCTCAGCTTGGACATGGGTAAATCAGCCATTGAAGGCAGTGTCAAGGTTCCATATCACTGAAGACCATGGAATAGGCCACAATCAGTTCTGCAAGTCAATGCAACCCGTCTAATAGGTCAGTCAGGAAGCTGCACAGAGATCATTCAGGGATCCGGTCGCTCATTAGTCGGGGTCATCCATCCTAGTCGGTCTGGAGGTTGGTCACAGTCATCTTGGGAGTCTGCTCGCTGAAAGTGACGGAGGGTTACCAGGGCATGCTGCTGTAATAGGGAAGATGGGTTAGTTAGTTTTGGGGATTGGAGGCAGCATGGTGAGGTGCAGAAGGTACAGCAGTTGTGAAGGGAGGCAACTCAGTGTAAGGGACATCCAAGAAAGGAGGTCACCAATGGACAGCAACATCCTGGCATAGAGGTATAAATTATAGTTATGTTCAACCTGGTTACTCCAACAACTGGAGCATCCATTTCTAGTCATGACATTTTAGGAAGGTTGAGAGGGTCCTTCCAAGGATGCATAGGAGATTTTTCTTGAATAGTTCCATGGACTTTTGCTGCCAGGTAGAAGTACTTGGAACACTTTCCTACAAGGGTAGTGGAAGCAGAAACAAATTGGATGAGAACATGGAGGAAATATACTACTTTTACAACCACAGGGATAGGGCAGTGGAACAGCTGTGACCATATTGCCCTGCAGCGAGATGAAATAGGTCAAATGGCCTTATTGGGTGCTTAAATCTTTTCTGTTTTATTTTGCAGTTTGTCATATCCTGAGTTCTCTTAATTTCAAATCCAACAGGCCCCTAAATATAACTGAGAAAATTAGGTGAAGGGTCAAAGCCTACCAAGCAATGACTACAAGGTCAAAAAGATGACAAATCAAGCTTGTGATTAATAGCTTTTAATAGGAACCAATTAATAGGCCCAATTAGTCATTAATGACCCAATTAATAATTAAGCAGTTTGATGGCTGATGAAATGAAAACAGTAGAGTATTCTCAGGGTTATCACTGATTAGAAAGTGAATAAGACCAGCCACTGACTAAATACTGTGGGTATAAGAGCAGGTCAGAGATTAGGTATTCTGTGGTGACTCCCCAAAGCCTGTCTGTCTATCAGTTAGAAGCCACAAATCAAGAGTGAGATAGAATGCTCTCCACTTGCTTGAATTAATGCAGCTCCAACAATACTCAAGAAGTTTGACAACTTCCAGGGAAAGAAAAACCTGCTTGATTGGTACCACATCCACAAACATTCAACCTGCCCACCACCAACACCTAAAAGTAGCAGTGTGGTACCACCATCTTCAAGATGCACTGCAGGAACTCACAAAAGCTCCCCAGACAGCACCTTCCAAATCCACAACCACTACCACCTAGAAGAGGAAGGGCAGCAGATGCACAGCAGCAGCAGCATCACATCAGCCCACAAATCCTCTTAGATCGAAAGAACCAATATCACAAAATTCTTTCACTGCGTGTTGGTGAAAGTCCTCTTACTTCTTTCAAAACAGCAGCCTGGGAGACCCTACACCCCAAAAGACTCCAGTCATTTGAGTTAGCAGCTCACCACTTCCTTGAAAGGATAATTGCATCCCATGAACAAATTGGGGAAAAAAAAGGAAACAAAATTCAGTTCAAGATACTCCTTTTAACTAGAGGCAATACAATGGATAAGAAAAGGTTAAAAAAATAGCAAGCTGACAGTGACAGCTTTAATCTTTTCACATTATTTAGAACTAAGTAGGGTTTCATTATCTGTTGATTGTGATTTTTGAAATTCTTAACGTTTGTCATAATCTGCATTTTCTTTAATTATCAACAGTAGATGTGGAGTAGTCAATTATATAATTTGACTGGATTTATTCTACTGTTTGAAGTTATTTTACTCATTGATGGAACATGGGCACCAGAGGTAAAGCTATCATTTATAGCCTATTCTGAACTGTTCAAGAGTTGGTGTTGAGCAGTCTTCTTGAACTGCTGCAGCCCATGGAATCTAGTCACACCCATTGTGCTGTTAGGTTCCTGTACTTTTGCTCAATGGCCATGAAGGAACAGTGATATATTTCAAATCAGAATGGTACTTGACTTGGAGAAGGGCTGCAAACACTCAGGAACACCTTTAAATTACTCTCCAAATAGGCATTGGACATCATAGGTTTGGGAAGAGCTGTAACTGCAGCTTTGAGGAGCTACTGCAGGCCATCTTGTAGATAGTATATGTGGCCACAGTGTGCAGGTGGTAGAGGAGGCAAATATTTATGGCACTCATCCAACACCAATCAAATGAACTACCTTGTCCTGGATGGTGGTGAGCTTCTAGAGTTTTGCTGAAACTTCACTCATTCAGTAAAGTGGAGAGTATTTCATTGTATTCCTGAAATGTGCCTAATGGAAAATGGAAAGACTTTTGGAGTGTCAAGGTGGCTTATCACAGAATTCCCATCCTCTGATTTGCTATTGTAATCAAAGTATTTGTGTGTTTGAGTTGGCTAAGTTTCTAAACACCACACCAGTAAAGAGGGCATGCTGTACATTGAATCTGTGCTATGCTTCATTCAATATGCTATGACATACAAATTAGAAAATCTCAAGTTTCATTCTCATTTCTGTAGAGTTAGCTAAATCAAAAGTCACCAAGAGGATTGTTGAAACTTCCCTTAATACCTTTGGGTAAAGCAGAAAAGAAACTAGAACTCTCACATCACTGCAATCTAAAAATGATTGCTGGGAATTTGTGTGGCTGGATATCAGGATGGTACAGTTTTGCTCTCATCTGCAACAATTATTTGATGGTCTACTGGTGCTCATTATGTTGGCTCACACAAAGTCACAGTCATAGAGACATGCAGCACGGAAACAGACCTTTTGGTCCAACCAGTCCATGCTGACCATAATCACACACATGAAGAATCACAACTTGAATCAAGTACTGGAAGCCTACATGTGCTTGGGTGTTTGACTTTGAGAGCTTCTGCCTTCAAAGTGGAGGAAAAGGAAAGTAAGTGAGGAAACTTTGAATAAATTGTACAAATTCCTTTCTCTCGAATAATAGTGGTAACGGACAATTATTTCTGCTGTTTCTGAAATTGAAATTGCATTGTGGCAGTATGAGATATAATCTGCAATCATAAAATGTGAGTAGTGTTTCAAACCCTATCATGGTATATGACTTTGTCATTGAAAACTTTACAAATCTCTTCTGATCTTCGATAAATGGTTCAGTGAGCTTACCTTTTTAATTAATATAGGAATTAACAGAATATCCAAAACAAAATTCTCATTCAGATGTTAAGATAAAGATGTGCACATCTTGGCTAAAATTTATTTGTAAGTTTTATTTATAGTAATAGAGTTGATTTTTCCAATTGTATTTGTGTGGCTTATTTTCTGCATCACTGCTCCATTTGTTTTATGATTGTGAAATAACTTACTTTTTTGTACCATCTCATCCGCAAAGAACATTTACTATAAGGTGCAGTGTTGTTTTTTCAAATGAACATGATGTTATTCTCGGAAACTTCAGTTTTGTAGATTAAAAGATTTCAAACCATTTGTGTTACAAGAGCTGAAACTGGATTTACTAATTTTAAAAAGTGTTACTATATAAAATACCAAACGCAAGTAAGGCCACAGAAAATAGTTCTCAGTTCTTTACAAACACTGCTCCCACACCCCAACCCCCATCAGAACCTGAGTAGCTGTTATTTCAAATGTGCCGTTAGTCTATTCTTTTCTATGTTATTTGTATAGTTACTGCAGCAGAATAATTGACTTCTCCATCTCTCAGATACATCAACAACATACTTAACAGAGTGTAGTTTATCAGCTGTATGATTCATGTATTTAAAAAAATTTTCAAGTAAACAGACATCAAATAGTAGACAAGATTGGCATGCACTGACAATATCTCTGCTCACAGCCATCCTAACGCTATTTTCCAAAGTCAAATTCAGAAAAATTGTTTTTAAACTACGATATTTGAAGAATTTGCCAGCGTCATGGACGTCCTGTAGGCATATTAAAATCTAGCTCCATTCTCCAATCTATTTCAACAAAGTCAAGTATACATTTATTGGAATTTATGTTCCATTTGTTGGTATTACCATATTTCTCCACCAGAATATACATATTTTTGCTTAAATATCCTTCAGAAAAACAAAAAGTTGAGCAATGCACAAATTCTCCAAGTAATTTGTTTTGTTTTAAGAAATGTGATCTTTTCTTTTATCTGTTGAATGGTAAAAACATGTTTAGTTAGCCAGCATTCCTTCATTTTATTGCATATTGACAAAAAGCTGTGTCAGGTTATTACTACTAAATAACAATACGAGAAAAAGTTACATTTTAAAATGTTGGTTTTTGGACAGTTGGATGTTTGTGATTATGTAAATAAGTTTGCCTGGAAGTTTCAACCACAAAATTGATCAGAAACCTAGTGCAATCCTAAACACAATTTGCGCACTGATTGCCAACTATCTCCAAAGCAGAAAACCTATCTCCATCTTTGGCCAACTATGTCAATGCTAGATATTGTAGATAAAAGAGCAAGGCTGAATTACAATGAAAGAAATTAAATGCAATCAGAACTGTGTACAACCCAGATGGTTACTGCAATCAAAAATAAATTAGATTGGTTTGGCCCTATAGCTCAAACTACACACACCTTAAGTTCATCTCAGGCTAGATAATCAAATTCTGCTAGATGCCATTAGGAATGGAAACAATTTAAATGCACTGCAAGTCAAAAACATATTTCATAGATTACACTGTGTGAAGAAATTTAAGGAAAAGTGATGAAACCAAGAAAAAGGTCAAACTGGGGATTCATTAGTTATTGTCTCTGCTGTATGTCTCTAACGAGCTGACAGAATGCTCTTACCTTTCAGAATGAACTGGTCCTTTTTAAAATCTGACGACTGAAGGACTTGATAGTTCTTCTTCTGGAATCCAGGTGTGCAGTCCAAATTCATTGCAAATACTTGTAGCAGTACCTAGGGTTGGAAAGATTTGAAGGAATAAAAATGACTGCTATAAATCTCTGTAAATGACAGAAAATGAACCATATATTTCAGGCCATGTTTCAGTTAAATCAGGTTGATTGCAAACTTATTAAAAATCCCCCAGCTTCGATTTACACGGATCATGTTCATTAGCCTCTTTCATCTAAACTCAAAGTGTAATCATTGCAAAATCTGTGTTGGTAACTTCAGCATATTTTAAAATCATTCTGTTATACATTTCCCAGAAATCTCAGATCCCATGAACTAACAACTTAGGTAATGATTTTTTTTCCCTCAAAATATTAATAAAAACGTTAACAGTGGAAAACATTTCAATAACTATTATTCAAATTAACTATTACTCAGATTCCTAACTAGGAGATTGAACATAAATCCCAATATTAACTATTCATTACACACAGTCTCCCTTTCACACGTGTATTTAGCAGTCTTAGGCAGGTCATTCAGACTTAAGAACAAGGGACTATGAACCAAGGCATGTTGTTGTTGATACTTGTGAGCTACTTATGGGTTAAGTGACACCTTTAAAACAAGGTAGTTGGGGAATAAATTAGGGCATTGATATTGAAATAATCAGATTTCTCTTGTATTTAGATAGGAAGCTGCAGCTGGGTTGAATAGTAAATAATGAAGTCTTTCATTGCTGTAAAGAGTGCCATTTTTATTTGAAGAAAATTAAAAAGCAGTCCAATACAAGCCAAGATTTGTGATGTAGGTCATGCAGTATTTCATGCAAGTTCAAAATTATAACACAAATACGTACTAATCATAGTAAGAGGAATGATATTTAGTTCCAAATAGACTATGAATTCAAATCGATTATGTCATGACTGCAGTATGATTTCAGTTTTAAGAACCTTTTCAACATGACAATCTTACCCACATGAGGCTCACATTTGTATCTCACACACATGAATTAGACTTTCAAAGAGAGAATAAAGAAGAGAAAAGCTAGAAAACACAAGTTGAAAATGTATTTGTAAGAGAAAGGTAAGTTAACAACAGTACAGAGTGAATTTAAGACGTTAGGTAGACGATTAAAAAATAAAACCTTAAAATAAGTAATTTCTAGTTGAGTCCCAATGCCAAACTCTAAAAAGGAGAAGGAACAAAAGGTTAAAGGAGATAAATCAATGACTGAAGAGCTGGTGTATTGTTGAGGGATTCAGATTTTTGGACAATTGGAATGTCTTTTCGGATAGAAAAGACTTATTCAAAAAGGATGGGTCTGACCTCAACTGGAAAGGGACCAATACTTTAGCAGGGAGATTTGCTCATTCTATTAAGCGAGACTTTATATTGATAGAGAAGGCAAGTGGTGGAATTCTAAGTAGCAGTGTAAATGGATGAATTGATGAGGTAGGTTCTGAATGTGAGGAGAGCATGTCAATTAGAAAAGAAAGACAAGAGACAGTCACAGTATGCAGAAACTCTGAAGAACTAAATTGCAATTATTTCAATGCAAAGTGTCTTACAGGTAAGGCTTATGAACTCAGGGCATGTTTAAGAACATGGGATTGGGACATCATAGCTATTATACAAACTTGGCTGAGAGATGGACAAGACTGGCAGCTACAAGACTGGCAGCTCAATGTTCTGTGTTTTAGATGCTAAAGGAAAGATAGAAAAGGAGGCAAGAAAGGAGGGGGTGGCATTTTTGATTAAGAAATACATGACTGCTATAACTAGGGAAGATATTTCTGAGAAGTCGTCCAGTGAAAATATGTGGGTAGAAGTTATGAATAAGAAAGGAGAGATCACTTTGATAGGATTGTACTATAGGTCCCCCATAATAAAACAGAAATTGACAAACAAACATGTAGGGAGATCTCAGATATATATAAACGTAATTTGGTTGTAATAATGGGGGATTTTAATTTTCCAAACATTGATTGCAACTACCATAGTGTTAAAGGTTTGGATGGTGAAGAATTTATTGAATGGGCTCAAGAAAATTTTCTTTATCAATATGTGGATGCTCCTTTTAGATTCTACAAACACATTAAGAGCAAGAGGGTAACCAGAGCATGGATAGGACCTCTTAAAGATCAAGGAGGTCATCTTTGTGTTGAATCCTAGGAGATGGCAGAGATACTAAATGAATATTTTGTGCCAGTTTTTACTGTGGAGAAAGAAATAGAGGCTAGACAATGCAGAGAAATAAACTTTGTTTTAAAAACAGTTCACATTTAAGAAGAGGAATTTCGGGAGGTCTTAGAGAATATAAAGGTGGATAAATCTTCAGGACTTGATCTAATGTAACCCAGAATGTTATGGAAAGTAAGAAAGGAAATTATGAAAGCCCTTGCAGAAATATTTGCATCATCTATAACTACAGGTGAGGTGCCTGAAGACTGCAGATTAGCTAATGTTGTGCTTTTATTTAAGAAAGGTTGTAAGGAGAAACCAGGGAACTATAAGACCTTTGAGTCTGACTTCAGTTCTGGATAAATTGTTGAAAGTGATTATAAAAGATAGGAATTTTGGATATGTACAGAGGCAAAATTTGATTAGGGATAGTCAGCATGGTTTTGTGCCAGGAAAATCGTGTCTCATAAACTTGATTGTGTTTTTTGAGAAAGTTACCAAGAAGATGGATGACGGCAGAACAGTAGACGTTGTTTATTTGGATTTTAGTAAAGCCTTTGGCAAGGTTCCGCATGGTAGACTAATTAGTAAAAGTTAGGTCACTTGGGATTCAGAGGGAGCTTGCCAATTGGATACATAATTGGCTTAACAGCAGGAGACAGAGAGTCATGGTGGAGGGTTGCTTTTTGGACTGGAGGCCTGTGACCAGCGGTGTCCCACAGGGATCGGTTCTGGATCTTCTTTTGGTTGTCATTTGTATAAATCATTTGGATAAGAATATAAAAGGCATGGTTAGTAAGTTTGCAGATGACACCAAAATTGGTGGCATTGTAGACAGTGAAGAAAGTTTTCTAAGGGTACAAAGGGATCTTGATCAAATGGATCAATGGGCTGAAAAATGGCAGATGGAGTTCAATCTGGATAAATGCAAGGTTTTGCATTTTGGTACAACAAACGAAGGTATGGCTTATACAATTAATGGTAGGGTATTGGGTACTGTTATAGAACAGAGGGTCTTAGGGGTGCATCACATACAGACAGGATGGTTAAAAAGGCATTTGGCACACTTGCCTTCATTGCTCGGTCCTTTGAGTATAGGAGTTGGGGCATTATGTTAAGGTTGTACAGGGCATTGGTGAGGCCTTTTCTGGAATACTGTGTCCAGTTCTGATCACCCAGTCATAGGAAGGATATTATTAAGCTGGACAGTGTTCAGAAGAGATTTCAGGATGTTGCCGGTATGAAAGGTTTGAGTTATAAAGCAAGGGTGGATAGCTTGGGACTTTCTTGTCTGGAGAGTAGGAATTTGAGAGTTGACCTGATAGAAATTGATTAAATAATGAGAGGTATAGATAGAGTTGATGGTAGTTGTCTTTTCGTTAAGATAGGAAATTTCAAGATAAGGAGGCACATTTTTAAGGTGAGGGGAGAGAGATTTAAAATAGACATGAGGCAAATTTTTTACACAGAGGTTGGTTCGCGTGTGGAATGAACTTCCTGAGGAAGTGTTGGAATAATGAATAGGATAGGTTTGGAGGGATATGGGCCACGAGCAGGCAGGTGAGGCTAGTTTAGTTTTAGATTATGTTCAGCATGGACTGGTTGGACCGAAGGGTCAGTTTCCATGCTGTAGGACTCTATGACTCTATGACTCAACTTCATTTCATCCATATATGATTTTCAGATAAACCGTAGGAATTGTTGAATTACAGAAATCAGACTTGCAAGTGGGTGCTGAACACAAGTGGGTTTGTTTATTCAGAAACAGTTTCCCACAGACAAAAAGCAGTTTGTAAACTACAGACTATTAGCAGAAGGAGCGTTTTTAAAAAATTCAATTGTCAGGGCTCCTCCAATGACTTAACTTAGCCGGTGAGCAGCCAGAGATACAGAGTAGAACAATTCCACACATCAGCCTAGGTCACATTTATAATCCTTAGGTGAAATGTTTTTTTCATTTATCTGTGGGATGTGGATATCTCTGGCTAGGATAGCATTTATTCCCTATCCATAATATTCCTGTAAAGGGTGGTAAGCCTGCCACAGCACTATTAGGAAGGGAGCTCCAGGATTCTGATCCAATACAGTGAAAGTGTAGTGATATTGTTCCAAATCAGGATGGTGTATGGCTTTGATGGGGAATTTACAGTTGGTGGTGTTCCTATGCATCTACTGTCTTTATTCTTCCTGGTGGGGGAGATCATGGGACTGTAAGGTGCTGTTGAAGGAGGCTTGTTGAGTCACACTACATCTTATAGTTTGTACACACTGCTGCTGAAATAACCCCAGAGGGCAGGATCCTGTCACCAAGTCACCCTTTATTTACACATGGAGAGTCCTTGACACTGCTCCCTCAATGCCAGCTCTCAGATTGAACAGGATGTCTGACACATCTGTCTGTCAGCCAGGGCTCCCTGATTGAGGCTGTTAATCTGGTCCAATCAGGGAACTCATATTCTATGATGTCCACCTGCCTGATTTCATTACAATCATTGTGCATCCGTGAAGAAGATGAATGTAGAAGGTGGTGAAGAAGGATAGTACCAAAACAACTCAATAGACCTGGAGTAATAGCTTTACAGTTTGAGTCTAAGAGATCATGATTTAATGTTATAAGACCACATGACCAGAAGAATCTGGGGTGAAATCTCATGGAGATGACTGTTTGCCCTTGTGTAGATCCATCACTTTGTAAATGGCTAGCTTGAAAAAAAAGATACTTGTTGAAATGAACACAGACTATGGCAAAATCATTCAAGAGACAGTTGGACTCCCTAACACCCTAACCCTAATTAGCGTAAGGAAAAAAAATCATCCAAGTATTCATCAATCTTGATTGCCAGCCATCAAACATCCATTGCAGGTTTGTCCAATGAGTAGAT